TCTCAAGCAGTCTACCCACTTCCTCATTGGTCGACATCTCCTTCTGGCACCGTCGACTGTAATCGACTCTACCCTCCTGAACGTATCCGGCGGTTGTCGCCTAAGGACATGCCCAAACTACCGTAGTCTTCCCTCCCTCAATTTTTCGGTTACATGCACCACCCCCAAGGACATCCTAATTGCAGAGTTTGGTGTCATGTCCCACAGAGTCCTACCATATGCCCATCGAAGCATTCTCATTTATGCGGCCTCCATCCTCCTTATGTGATCCTTCTTGATTGCCCAACGTTCTGATCCATACAGCAGCGCTGGTCTTATTGCCATTCTATAAAATTTTCTCTTAAGTTTTAGAGGCACCTTCTTGTCATACAAAACTCCAGTAGCAGCCTTCCACTTTAGTCATCCCGCCTTTATATGGTGTGTAACGTCATCATCTACACCCCCATCTTTATGTATCATAGACCCTAGGTACTTGAAACAATCATTTGAGGGGAAAACATGTCCTTCTATGCATACTTCTACATCTTCGTCGTTTTAGTTCCCACTGAAGTTTGAACATAAATACTCTATATTTTCAATATTGATCCGTAGACCTTTTTCTTCCAAAGCAGTCTTACAGGTAGCCAGTCTACTATTCAGCTCAGTTTTTGTTTCAGCAACTAGGACAATGTCGTCCGTGAAAAGTATACACCATGGAACACCTTCTGGTTTCGTACAATAGATGTCGTCCATAATCAATGCAAAGATGTAAGGGCTAAGAGATGACCCCTGGTGGAGTTCGATTTCCACCAGGAATGCCTCGGTGTCGCCAACTGTAGTCCTAACGTATGTAGTAGATTTACAGTACATATCACGAATCGCCCGGATATAAGCAGTTGGGATCCGTCTCGTTTCCAAGGTCTTACAGATCGTATCGCGGGGAACGCTATCATACGCCTTCTCAAGGTCAATAAACGCCATGTGGAGATCTCTATTTTTTCCCTATATTTCTCCATAAGCCGTCGGAGTAGATGAATCGCCTCCGTAGTAGACCTGTCTGGCATAAAGCCAAATTGGTTTTCCGAAACCCTAGTAACCTGTCTCAACTTATCCTCTATCACTCTTTCCCATAGCTTCATGGTATGACTGAGTAGTTTAATACCTCTGTAGCTACCACAACGTTGGGGATCTCCTTTATTCTTATAGATTGGTATCACCGTAGATTGTCTCCACTCCTCTGGCATCTTGGCAGTCTCTAAAATAATATTAAAGATGTTGGTCAACCACTTAACTCCCTCTTCTCCTAGGGCCAACCACATAGTGATAGGAATTTGATCTAGACCGACAACTTTGTCCCTCTCCATTTTTCTAAGAGCCATTTTGACTTCTTCAATCCCAATCCTACATGTAGGGCAGTCATTGGCCGTAGTATGATGGTCGGCTGACTCATCAACGATACTATCTCTACAGGGAGAGGCACCATCATTAAATAAGCCAAAGAAGTAACTATCCCAAACCCTCTTAATATCATGATCTTTCACTAAAAGAACATCATTGTTCTCCTTAATAAACCTAATGCTACCTAGATCCTTTTTCCTATTCTCCCTGGATTTTGCAAGCCTGAAGATGTCGTTTTGTCCTTCCTTGGTGTCTAATCTCTTGTACATTTCCTCGTATGCCTTATCCTTTGCTTTAGCCACTATTTTCTTGGCTTCCCGCTTTGTCTTCTTGTACCTTTGTTTAGCTCTCGATCTTTCTTCGTCGTCATTGCATTGTAGAAACTCCTTGAAGCAAGTTTGTTTTGTCTTCACCTTAGCTTGAACTTCGTCGTTCCACCACCACGATTCTTTATGTTCCTTGACCTTCCCTGTCGACAACCCAAGGGTGTTTTTGCCCACCTCCCTGATGGAATTTGTCATATTTTTCCATAACGTATCTGTATTATTTGAGTTTGTAGTTTCAAAACCTGTATGAGACAAAACCTTACTCCTAAAGTCATCATCTGTCGCTCCATGTAAGTTCTTTCAAATGATCCTAAATCCTAAAAAACACACAATATATTTCAAAAAAAAAATCCCGCCCACAATATTCTCAAAATTTAAACATCGATATCCATAAAAAGCAAAAGCAATAAAAAAGAACATAAAAACTATAGTTGGATGACTAAAATTTAAATGTAAGAATAGGTAGATAACCAAATAGTTAATTTACCCAAGAAAATGATTGCGAATATAATATTTATAAACTTTGGTGGACCCCACAAGTTATCTGGGCGGGTTTTTTGTTGTTAATTTTTTTTCTCTCCGTCGTTGAACTTTGTTATAAGAGATTGCCCATTATAGGTGCATATTTAATGCATGTTTCCTTTTTAACCGGTAAATTACTACATTTTTTTTAAATAACTAAGATAAAACGTAATCACGAGGTTAAATAGTAAATTTTAACAAATCACAAATAGTGGAATCTTTATAAATTAAGACTCAATAAATTCATAACCTCACTAAAATAATATTTTTTTTGGTCTCGAATTTAGCTCAAGATCTAAATTAATGATTTCATTAAATTAATAAGAAAATAATTTCCTACAATACTCTTATGCAAATGTACTCCAATGAACTTTGTTTTTTTAGGGGTATTTATTATATTTAGTTAGTCACAGCGTACATGAACATCATTAATCAATCAATATAATGTATATATTTTATTTATGAAGAATAACCTAAGTTCATTGAATCAAAAAAAATATCTTTAAATTAATAAATTAATTTCTATACATGCACTTTTATGAAATTCAATTATTTAAAATTTTTATGGTGAAAGTTAAAAAAAATAACAATCAAAAGTTAATAAATGAGAATTTTAATAGAACGAAGTGGAAAAAACAGCTGCATTCTGAAGCTCCGAATTGCTGGAGCACAGTTGGATTGAATCCGAAGGAGCAGGCAATATTCATACCAGTGAAAATAGCCCAAAGCTATGCTTGAAAAGCATCCACGATACCTACTCTTTTGCTGAATCCGAGGAGTCAATTACCTTCGTTATCTCGGACAAGACCTCCAATGCCCGTCTTCATAGAAGAAGCACCATCAAAGTTCAAGCAATAACACCCAACTTTAGGGCCTTCTTATTGAATCAACTTCATAACAGGGGTGTTCACAGCAATGGGAATGTTGATATTGTAGAAACGAGCCCAAGATAAACTTTCAAACAAGGGAGTCAAAGAGAGTATTCCATGGAATAGAACTATCTGCAAAAAGGATATTCGAACTTAAATTCCAATGAAACCATTCTTGGAGAAGAAAGGCCCATGAAAAGCAGCAGGAATCATCAACTCCCAAAGGTGGCGAATGCGGGGCAATCATGCAGCTTATTTTCAATTAATGGGTAATGCCTGGGTGGTCCAAGACCGACCGTTTGCATCGTTCTGAAAATTCGCCGAATAATCTTTCGAATGAGTAATTTTGGTTCCCAGACATTACCCATTAATTGAAAATAAGCTGATTTTAAACTAAAGTCTGTTACACCTAAATCATCAGGGAATTTGATACCAATAATACGTTCGATAACATCGTCAGTAAACACCTTTGAGAGTTGTGCGATATTCCATTGACCATTGGAGTGGATAAAATCCCCCAGTGAGCATGAAGGAGACTCACCATGGTGCGAACGGACTTAAGGCCGAAGAGAACCCAATGCAAGAATCCAAATATAATCAAGAATGCTGATAAGACCACAATTGCCAAGGGACTAATCTAACATTCAAAACATCCCATTGCGAAGATATGGTACGCCAAAGAGGAGTACGAGGCCCGACGAAGTGAGATGGGCAAGAGATCTGGAATACCATACTTCTGACGCAAAAATTTCACCCATAAAGATTCGAGTTTTGTTATCAAATGAAAACCAATTTCAGAATGAACGTCATGACTACGGATATTTCAAAACCAAGACTACAATGATTACTTGTAGATACCTTTTGATAACTTCATAGTTTGCAGAATGGCCTACAGAATTGCTTCGGGTAAAGTGACCCGGTCAACAAGTGATAAAGTTTGGGCAGCCCACCCAATCAATTTGGCTTTAATCTTATCGATTAAGAAAATGAAGACAGCTCGTGTCAGATCATTGGCGAAGAAAGGTAATTGTCAAGGGATTCAACAACTTGGAACCCTAAGGATGAGCTAATAGATTCCCGCATGCTTACATCAGCGTTAGAGAAAAACCAAATGAGATTTTATTTGGCTTACCTGATGGTTAGAAAAAAATTCCCAAAAGTTGATAAAATGGAGTTAATAATTTCACTTTGTTGAAGGGTGGTCTTGGCATACAAGGTGAGATCGTCCGCAAAAAAAAAAAAAAAAAATGAGAGAGCGACAAACCAACTTTTGCAAAATAAAAAGGGCACCACTGATGGTCTTAAGTAGCAAAATAAAAAGGGGATAAGGACCCATTCCCTTACGTCGCGTCCTAGTCAAAAGGGCTGAGATTAATAGTCATTCTATTGAGCCTGAAAGTGAAAACCGGGAAGGAGACATAATGCATAATAAGACGTCTAATACCCTGGGGAAACTTGGTTCAATAAGAGTTTCGACGATAAAGGACCACTGAAGGTGGTCAAAAGCTTTCTCAAGGCAAATTTTGCAAATCTTTTTATAATAGCTTTTGATATTTAAATTTTGACTGAATGTTAATAAAGTCTTTCATTATATTAAATTTATCTACATTCTATCTTATACATCATGTGTGTGGTCTGATTCCAGAGTTGACGATTTTTTATTCTCAGCCATATGTTGTAGAACATGAGAATTCATGGTCCCCTCTCCCTTGGATAATGTTTCATATACTAAAACATATGGGTTAGCCCAGAATCTTCTTTGGGTTCAGACCCCCCCCCCACCCAAAAAAAAAACAATGGTTTTTTACATATAAAAATAAGTGCAAAAGACGCATAGATTTTTTGTTCTTTTCCTACAGGAAAGCTTCAGAAAAGATGACCATGACCCAAGGGAATGCATTTTTATTGGTGAAATCATAATGGTGGGGGCTTTTAATATTCGTTTCTCTGTGCCTTTGGAGTATGTCAAAACTGTAATAATAAACCATTATTCTCTTTTATATGAGAATTCAAATGTTTATGATTACATGCAACAGTCGTTTTCATGTAAAATGATCTTTAACTACAATTATCAGCTCCATTTGCATGAAAACAGATCTAGAAGAAACAGATACAATGGCATTAGTCGGTTATCATCAATAATGGTGTACACAATTAGACCTCTGGATTCTCATCCAATTTGGACGAGAGGTTACAAAGAGACGACCGTGAACCGGCACTTGAGAATCCATCACCGGCTGTAGACGTGTCGTAATTCATTCTAACGCCACGATAGGAATCCCCGGCAACTAGTGCTTGTATCAGTTTCGGTGGTGGGGGAGTGGTTACTTCCACCACTCCTTCCAGCATCTTCACTACCGTTCCCATTGTAGGCCTCGATACCTCTTCATCTTGTATGCACCAGATTGCTACCATAGCAAGTCGCTCGGCCTCCTGGACGTTATACGCAATGCCGAGTCTACTGTCCACGATTGCGGCCACGTTGCCCTCAATTACTTGGCGTGCTGCCCATGGAGGGAAAAACCACTTTTCTCCGTTCCCTCCCTCGGTGAAAGCATTGGTGTTTTCTGCAGATTGTAGTGCCTCCACGTTTCTGCGGCCACCAATTAGTTCTAACAATGTCATCCCGTAACTGTAAACATCGGCTTTTGGTGTGATTGCCATACCGGATATCCATTCCGGGGCAACATAGCCCCAGGTACCCCTCATTGTGGCTAATACCCTGCTAAAATCCCTGCCAACCAGCTTTGCTAATCCGAAATCAGATACCTTTGCCATGTAATCACCATCCAATAGAATGTTTTCGGGTTTGATATCACAATGAATGATACAGTCCCTACATGCCTCATGTAGATATGCTATGCCTCTTGCAGTGCCTAATGCAACTCGGAACCTAACATCCCAGCAAAAGTTTGGACCATCTCGGCGTAGGTACGCACTCAAGGGACCGTTAGGCATGTAATCATATACAAGTAACCTACGAGAATTCTCTGAGCAAAATCCTCTTAGTCTCACCAGATTAACATGTTGAATGTTGCCAATGGTGCACACCTCAGCCCTGAACTCTTTCTCACCACTCCCCGGCCTTTCAAGGCGTTTAACAGCGACCGGAGTAGAATCTGATAGCTCACCTCGAAAGACCACACCAAATCCGCCATGCCCCAGTTTCTCCGAAAACCCTCGAGTCACAGTATTAAGCTCTTTGTAAGTGAATACTTTGAGATTCAAACAGGGGAAAACACCATCATCATCATCATCATCATCCCCATTCCCCTTCATGTTCTCACTTCTTTTCCTCAGAACCAACAAGATCAACCCCAAGAACCCCAAAGCTGCAATAGACCCGACAACGCAAGCAACCAAAATCATGGTTTTCGACACATTTTGCTTCGCAATTCCTTCCTTTGGAACCCTAATATAAAACACATCTTCATTGATACCATCAGAGTTCAAATTTCTGAAATTCAACACAGAACCATATACATTCTTACACAGATTAGTCCTCCCATTATGATACAACCCAACACAAGAACATTTTTTCAGACAATACTTCTGACAAGAACTCCTACTGCCTGAAAACGACACCGTTGTCCATCCATCAAACCCAACATAACCTAGCTTCTCAAACCCATCTTTATCCTCGCAAAAATCGTCACTTTCTCTTCTACAACCACTGGTAAAATCTCCAGAATTCCATCCTTCATCATCCAAAGGTCTAAATCCGTTAAGACAAACACAGGGTTTTAAAGAAGAACTTGCACAAGTTCCGAAAGCACCACATAATCCGTAAACTCTGCACTTATCATCCGGCACAGACCAAAACATGTTCCAATTCTCTATCTGTGGCGACCATGTGAATTGCTTTAGCTGTCCGTTGGCATCAATCTGAAACCTTGTCAATGGAGGGTCCAGTCCGTTATCCAGTGCTCTTTCTGTGTACCAAAACGACGCCATTGGCAAGTACGGATCGGAGAAATGGAACTTGTAAATGTAACGGATTGTCATTTGTGGCACATTGGCGAAAGCAGTTCCGGTCCAGTTTCCGGTGGACCAATACACATTGGTTGAATTGTAAACGAGCTGAAACTCGTTGAACTCTTGGGGATTTAGCCTTAGAGAGAAATATCCTGGCGATGGGTCAAAGAAGCTCTTCCAACAGGTCAAAGATCGTTGGGCGCTGATGTTCATCCCCGGCAGCCACGTATCCGTCGGATGATCGAAGCTTTGCCATATTTTTGAACCTTCCGATGAATATAACACCAGATTCCCACTCTCTAAAAGATTGAACATTTTCGCTTTTTCACGGTTTGTGCTCTCCCATACGACTGAATCCGGCGACTCCTTCACCGCTAATCGCCCTGTTTCGGTGATTTCAAGTGAAGATTGGGTGATGTTCTTGATGGGTTTTTCACGATTTGCGACCCAAACGCGCGTTTGGGTTGGAATGGAAGAGTACCATATTCCTAAATACCAATTGGATTCCCCATCTGTGCTGAAGAAACCCAGCTCGAAAGTACCGTTAACGCTGTGAAGAGTTGCGTTTCCTCTTATGATAACGCCATTGTTGGACTCCAATTTCCTTGCTTTATAAAGGGTTTCACGTGGAAAAAGCTCATCCGGTGAAGTTTTGGTGACAGAGATTGCATGTTGGGTGTGAAACGAATGGAGTAAAACCAAAAGAATCACAGAAACAGAAACCATGAAAGAAGGTAAAGTGAGCACCGACATCTAAACCGAAGTTTCAAGCTTTTCAGTTCGGTGTTGAGGGTGAGTGAGTTCCGCGTTGAGAGTTGACATGGAAACGTGTGGAATCTGAGGAACGATTGAAGCAAAACAAGGCGCAGCACACTGTATAGATATAAACAAAACAGAGGAGAAGAAGACAGATTAACAGAGAGTGGATTCTTATAGAAATCTGCAAAAGCTGCCATTCACGGACACGACTAAAAACCATAAAGAAATGAAAAGCTTTTGGGAAATTACACTCAACATTTTCAGTGGTGGCATATTATGCGTTAGTTAATGGAATTAAGCAGGAAGAGGAGGGACATTTTGGAAAAGAACAGAGCAGGTGAGGTGAAGGAAAAGTCTTAAGTCTTGTGGCAGACAAATGTGCTGGAGTTCACGCTTTCAACAAGGGTTGTTAAAAGCAATCAAATAAATATTAGTATTTCTTTCTTTGTAGTAAATATAATACTATTTGGATAGTTATTTCATAAATTTTAACTTTACAAACCTAATTTTTCTAAATATAATGTATACTTAATAAGAAAAAAATATGAATACAATCATTTAAGACTCACAATCACAAATGTCTAAGGTTTGTGTTATGTAAGAGCGCATTGGTCCCTAATGATGGAGATCTGTCAACTGTATAAATTTATGGTTTCAAATATTTGCTAGTTTATATCCATAAACATCTAAATTTTGGTGGTAATTCTTTTTCGTTGAATACTCAAGTTACCATAAAACATGTTGGATTTGAAATTACATTAAGGTAGCGTTTGGTTTACATGAATCCCTTGAAATTAGGGATAATTGGAATCCAATTTTATCACTTTCACATGTTTGGTTCGAGTTTTCAAAGGGAGTTGAAATACCTCGTGACTTCAACTTTCCATCAAATTAGGGAAAATGAATTTCATCCATGATGGAATTCAATTCTATTGTTGGAGGGAATTGAAATTTGACCATACTACCCTTATCAATATTTTGGTAACTTATTCATATATTAAATAAAAATATTTTTTTATTATTTCGGGTCGGGTCAGGTTTCTAATTCATATATTCGGGTCGGGTAGGGTAAAACTTTATTTTGGTCGGGTCGGTTTTTTTAAGTGTGATATTCGGGTCGAGTCAGGTTAGGGTTTAGGGTGAAAAATACCCGACCCGACCTAACCCGAAAATATATATAATTTACCTTATATATTTAGGAATAATTACAATAATACCCCTCTCTATATATTTTTTTTCAATTAAGTCATTATTTTTATTGAATAAAAATAATTTTTTTATTATTTTGGGTCGGGTTTCTAATTCATATATTCGGGTCGGGTCGGGTCGGGTGAAACTTTATTTTGGTCGGGTCAAGTCAGTTTTTTTAAGTGTGATATTCGGGTCAGGTCGGATTTAGGATGAAAACTACCCGACCCAAAACATATATAATTTTACCTTATATATTTAGGAATAATTACAATAATACCCCTCTATATATAATTTTTTTTCAATTAAGTCACTATTTTTATTCGATAAAAATATTTTTTTTATTTCAGGTCGGGTCGGGCTTCTAATTCATATATTCGGGTCGGGTCGGGTGAAACTTTATTTTGGTCAGGTCGAGTCTCGGATGGAGGTTCCCTTGTTCTCGGGTCGGGTCGGGTGGACCAAAAACCCAACCCGACCCATGGTCATCCCTAATTTGGATGATTTTAACTTATGATGTTTATTAGCATGATTTTTATAATTTATTAAAATGAATAATCAATCAATATAATTAAAATTTAATATTTTTTAAATTTTTATAATATATTGCTACATGTAATTTATAAAACAAACTAAAATTAAGCAAAAAAAATAAGAAGGGCAATCTTATCATTTTACTTTACTGAAATCAAATTCATCTAACATGTCTGCGAACCAAACATAATATGGAATTTGATTCCAATTCAATTTCCTGCCAACCAAACAGAATATGGAATTGGATTCCAATTCCTGACAGATTTCAATTCCTTCACAGATTTCAATTCCCTCATAAATATTCATGTGAACCAAACGCCACCTAAGGGTCACGGAAAACTTATTTCGAGAAATGAATTATATGTAAATTAAATTGCATTTTTGGAAAAGTATTTTTGAACATTGTTTTAACTTTTCATTGGTCGATAACTTTAAAAAAAATAATATTATAAACATCAAATACAATAATTAATATTATTTACTAATAAATTATTATTATTATTATTATTTTTAAAATATTAGAATACTTATTTGATATTATTTTTGTAATTTCAATTTATTATAATATATTTTAAGAATCTCATTTTAAAAAAAGTAACACAAAATCTCTCTATGTTTTGGACTGGGCCATATCGTAGGATTATTGTTTCTTTGTTCCATGACCTAAATCTTCTTACAGTTGAAAAGAATAAATCACTTGCATAACAAGTAAATATTTTTACTTTTTTTAATTATTGTATTCGATAACTATTGAAAATATACTTGATACGCGGACCTATAAAATCAAGTGTATATATATATATAGAGAGAGAGATAACCCTTCATTTTAATAAATTTTGATGTGAGAAATCTTAATTTATGTGGCTTTTTTTTTTGGGTGGAGTGAGATTTGTAGGCTGGAAGATGGTGACAGCCATGTTAGGACCACAAACATTTGTTCCAATCACATTGACCCTAAATTTTATATCTATTACAACTCTGCACTTCTCACTATCTCTTTTACCTTTTACCTTTTACCTTTTGGATTTTTTTTACCATTTCTTGACGGAGACGTTTATCTCTTAATCTGGTGCTCGCTCAAACTTTCCCTATAAAGTAGTAGTAGTAGTTCAGCTGTTGGCCAAAATTACTATTACTAAATGAAGAAAATATTATTTTTGAATTTTGGTCTTCAATTTAATTAGAATGACAAAACCCTTCATTTTTGTTTATGCTTAAAAAAAAACAATTTTGCATACTTTTGATAACTCTTTATCTGATCTTCTTAGAAAATATAGGCATCACCTTTGTAATCATGTTTGCATCACTGATCATTTTCTAGTTATACATTTTAATATATTTATAAAGAAAGTTTTTGTTATTACTGTTCGTTTGAAATATATATATATAATAGAATGTAATTAGTAAAGTACATAGTCTGGGGTTTGGACCGACATGCTTCGGATCCCATATTGTAGCGTGCGTGGTCCTACCAGTGTTCATTGCTTATGAGCGACATTTTTCAAAGTGAAGCTGTATGAACAGACAATGGCGGGTTTTTTTCCTAAATCAAAACAAAAACGAGATGATACGACTCATTCATTACGGGGGGAAAAATACTGTAAAAGAAGATTCGATTCGATTTTAAGACGTACATTGGTCATTAATTGAGCCGATGTTCATTTAAATAAGAGTATGAAAATAAATAAATAATGGTTTGAAAATGGTATGTAAACAGTCAACTGAAGGGGACCTAAATACTTTAATTTTGATGTATCCATTGATTTTTCAAAGACAATCTTAATATACGATTAAAAAAAGACGATTTTATTATTGTTTAAATAACAAAACCGATAACAAATAATCGAAAATATTATTAGGCACTAAAAAAAATGATCGAAATCATTATTAGACCCTAAAAATAACCAAAAATATTATTAAACACTAAAAAATGACCGAAAATATTATTAGGCGCTAAAAATAATCGAAAATATTAAAAAAATGATGTTTTAGATAAAAATAATAATACTTTAAATAATTTTTACTGATTTTATTATTTAAATAATAATAAAATCGAAAACACCTTATTTTAGACTTATATTAAAATACCTGTAGAACTTATTTGATTTTCCTGGTGGTTGCAGATGCGATCTTTTTATTGCGGGTCTCTCCTGGTAAATAGTTCATGAAAGTTACAGGATTTTGTTCAATTTTCGTGATTGAGTGTTACATGGAGATGACGATAGGAGCTATCATCGTGAGACTTGATAGTAGTGACATTTTGTCTTTACCTGAAGGGTCTATCTCTAAGGTCGATACGAGCTATCATCGAGAAGGAAATAAGGTGGCTGATGACATGTCTAAACTCTGATGTAAACACTTCCGTCTGGTGTTCAAACTTTCCAACACACCTGATGGGACAGGATTGCTGCTGCATGGGGATGCTCATAGCAGCCTCAGCCAAACGATGGCTGGTTTTGCTTAGTTCTCTGTTCCTCCTCCTCTGTGTATTCAGAAAAGAAAAAAAAGAGTTTAAACCACCATTTGAATGACCCATAACCATTTCCAAAATGAAATTCAGAAAAAAGTGTAATTACAATTATGGAGGTAGACAATAAGGGCCTCAAATTTTCATGCACAATCAAAGAGTTGCATGAATATGATAAGACGGAAGGATAAGAAACATGTTGCAAATGTATGTCTTGGATCATGCATTATCTCAAGCTGAACCACCTGGTAAAATAACAAAGCCAACGACTATAGACAATTCCATGGATCTAAAATTCATATCACATGACATAGTCTGAAATAAACAAAAGGAAAACCATATAAAAACCTGTACAAGTAAAACTTTGACCGATTATCATCAATTGAAGCAAGGCATGCTGACAAGTATCTTCCCCTTCTTCATAATAAGGCTAATCCCATCCGAATCTGATACCATCCAGTGACTTACTGTTTATTCCATCTTCCCCACTAATCTGAAAACCGACAACGGAATATTTAACTGCAAATGCGAAGCTTTAACAACCCGAGACCCAATCTGTGTTTATCATATTGTGTCAACTTGGTTCTTTACTCTTGGAAGTCATACACCTGAAGGATTGGTGAAAAGATTTGACAGCCTGAATACATGTATCCTTTTATATAACTAGAAATTTAGTAAAATTCAATCTTGTAGGCATACCATCTGACCTGATGCAGAACCAAAAACTAACATGCATCTGCAGCATTCTGGGCGTTACTGATCAAATGTCTGGGTCAGATAACATTTCCTGTAACATTAAAAAAGGTATAACATGTCACTCTTTCGAAAGACGGGTATTAACATATTAAACATGTCAGGTGATGCAAAGCACAAGAATTGGCATATGAGATAGAAGACAGCAGATTCATAGGTGTAATAATATATATACAAAGAGGCTTCAAGTGAAGTCCAAGTACTTGCACAACGTACATGACAGACAGTTCGAGTCCATACATTGTTGGGTACAGTATGATTAATTACAATAAATTCAACTTGAAAGAGACGAACCTGATTGCACATAGGTGATAATG